GCGGGGCTGGGGGTTGTGCCTGCGACTGGAATGTAAACGAGCTGTGCTTCATTAGGTGGGTGGAAGCTCCCTTTTGCCTGGGCTGACTGGTGGCCTCTGGGGAGTTCAGGAATGCTTTTGCTCAGATGTGCTTTCCAGCTGCCAAAGGGCGAGAGATGAGATGACACTCCTTGCTTTACATCCCTTCCCTGTCTGCGTTATCCCTTCCCTGCCTATATTTTGAGAATGCAAACACAGTGGCTGTCCTTCTGCGATGACCAGGAAGAAGGAATTTTTGTCTTCCTCTCGTGGTCACAGGTGCAAGTCCAGGACAAGTAGGAACTTGCCTGCCCATCCCAGGAAGTTCTGGTGTAGGTCAAACATATCCCTTTCTCTGGAGTGGGGACAAGTGGGGAGGGCAGCTGGGGGAAATCCTCAGTGAGTGTTTTTACCAGCCAGGTACCTGAGCACAGGTTTCCTATATAAGACCCATATGCAATGTGCAGCTCTGAACAGAGATGGCTGTTTGGGGGCAGAGAGAGGACTGGACAACTTCACATTTGTGTCGTTCCTATGCTGGAGATTTAACTGAGATCCCCATTAAGTCTTTCTCCAACACCTTCCTTATTAAGTGGTGCCTATGCTGTAAATAGTAATGATCATGATAATAATCAATAAGGCTGTTTAGCAGAGTTGTGCTGTGGTTGTGCATGTCCTTCTTAGGTGGATGTGGATTTTGGTGGGGGGGTGTTGAACAGGACAGCAAGTCCTCTAGCAGTGGACTGTGGCTGTAGCAAACAAGGATCGTTAGCAGCAGTGGTCAATAGATCCTTTTCCTACCCTTCTGCCAGGAACCGATGAAAATGCATTACAAAAATTCAAGCCTCTCAGCCATTTGGTAAAAGCTTCCTGCTCCACTCTGTAATGTCAGCAGGCAGGAAGGCAGTGTTCCCACACACTCCTCTCCCCCATGTGAATGCACCCACCACCTTACGGGGACCTCACATGGGTCCAAAGCGTCTGAAGCCCAGAAGCACCCAAGCTGGGTTTTTGTCCAGGGGCAGGACGGTATCTGGTGGGGACAGCAGGCTGCCAGACAGGAGTAATTTGCGGCTTCCAAGAAACAGTGCCTGGTATTTTGCTACTCCCTGTCCCTTCTGGAGGGCAGAGTAGAAGAGTTGCAAATAGCTCCCTCTGGCTAGCCTGGAGTGGGGAGAAAACACCATGCACTCAGCCCAGGGCAGAGGACAGCCCACATGCTCTGTTATGGGTATTTTCTGCCTGCCAGGACTCATAGGACATCAACAGCACAGTCCTTTTGGCCTGGCCAGGGTCAGGAGCCTTTCCAGATGTTTGCATCTCTTTCCCTGGGCACCACAGCATCAGACCAGACATGAAGCCATGGGGTAGCTCTGAGTTGAGTTCAGTCTCATGTCTTGGCTGTAGGAATAGGCCTTATTCCTTTGAGGTGGCTACAGCCTAGCTGTCACCTCCATGCTAGCCAGGCATCCTCAGTTTGGCCAGCAGTGTCACTCTTCTGTGTGGCCAGCAAGCCTGGGACCTCTGCTGAGAGGTGAGCTTCTACTGAGTTGTGGGAAGAAGGGGTGGAGATGTGTGAGCCACCCACCTCCTGGTTCCCACTGTCCCTCATCTGGGGACACCATGAGTAGGGCCTTGCTGCCTATGCCTTGTGCCCATGGTTGTGCAGTGTGCTCTGCCTCTGCAGACAGCTGACTGCCTGAAACCCAGCCACCAGGCTGGCAAGGCGGACGGTAGTAGGCGGGAAGGGGTTGTGTGGCAGGCCAGAACCTGACAGCGAGGGAGGAGGAACTCCAGCCTCCTTCCCGAGTCTCAGACAGACACAAGTAAGGCTCATTTGGGGAAACTGGGCGTTGCTCCTGCCGGCACCTCAGGCGCAGAGGCACAGCAGTGCCAATGCTGCCTGCCATGAGCCAGCCCAGGGGCAGTCAGGGGTCAGTGAATGACCTGGTGGGTGTGGATGGGCCGGCGGAGACAGGAGCTCTGGAGATGCTGATGTGAGTGTCTGGTCCTGGCTGCGGTGGGCAGCTGCAGGTTCAGGTGGATGAGCCAGCCAGGAAGAGAAGCAGAGGAGTTGCATGGGTGATGCATGTCCTGGCTCTGCCTTTCCCTCTCCTCTTGGCACCGGGAAGGTCTCTCATCAGCTGCCTAGAGCTTGTCAGGAGTTTCTGTGTCAGAGACTTCTGCCCTTCAGTTTGTCAAAATTGGCTTGTTAGTATCAAATTAGGGAACAGATCATCGGGTGCATGAAAAGGGGTTGCGTCAGCCTTGTTCCTGAAGGAAATTAGGCTATAAAAAACATGAGAGGGTGGAGGAAAGGGATCCCTTCAAGGCATATATGGGATACTCACTGGGATATAAAGACCCAAACCAGACACCACTGCTGAGTGACAGAGGAGGAGTCCCACCACAGCCATCCCTTGTCATATCGCTGCTTGAGGGGCACAGGTGCATGCCACGGAGAGTGAAGGGAGTCAATTCCAGGTGCTTTTTCGTCCCTGCAGGAAGCACTGGACTCGGGCTGGGAGCTGGGCAGCTTTCAGTGCACACCAGTCCTCAGCTCCCTTGCAGAGCTCCTGTGGCTGCCATCTCCCCTTGCTGAAAGGGCTCCACAGCTCACTCTGGCTTGCTGACAGTTTGCAGGGAGAGGAGAGAGAAGGTGTTTGCACCTTTACCTTATTTTGTTTGCTGCTAAAGCTGCTGACCAAATGAGCAGGCTGAGCTGCTGCAAAGGACTCACACCCATTGCAGAGTGAGTCCTGGGGACTGGACACCCCATACTGTTTTTCTGACTGAATTCTCACTGTGTGGTACCCTTCATTTGTTATTTGTTTTTATTTGCTAGGATTGCCCAGGTAACTGTTCCTCATTTATTTGCAAAGGTAATAAGCTGTGCCCCTCTTGTGCTACTTCAGGATTGCCAGCACCAATGTGAAACCTCCCCTCCCCTTATTATCGTAGGGCAGCCCAGGGAGATGCCCTGGATTTGCCTTCTCCAGCCCTGGCAGTGGGTGCCAGAAGGGATTCCTGGGATGGGACACGGTGTGTTTCACTGCCGTGGAAGGACTTAGTCACTGTGAATGTCTTTGGTCTTCTTTTGGACCTTGAGTTGCCACAATATCTTTGAGGCAAAGGATGGACTTCAACTGCACCTTGTACAGTTTCATTTCCTGGGGGGTCATTCCAAATTTACTCAATCTCTTCCCTATCCCTTGTCTGTCACCCTCTTAGAATAAAGGAGCTCTGACCTGTGGAAGCAGTTGAGTCCTGCAACAAGGAATAAAACACCAAGCATATGAGCATCATGGGGAAAAATGGCAAAATGATCCCATGCTGGGGAGCCATGTGAGTCCCAGGGGTGGTGCAGGGGGTCACTTATGTTGCTGTGGGCAGTTAGGAGGGTGCTGAGTCTGGGATGCTGATCTAGCACTGTTCTTGTGGAACCAGAAAAAGAAAGGACTGCTTTAACGAATAAGTGGCCATGAAAAACTTTCCGTTTTTTGATGGGAGAGTGCAAGTTCACTTTAGCAAGGAAGAATAGGAGACTGATATCTGTGGCAGACTTGGGGACCCAGCGACCTCTCCCCTTGGTCACCTCCAAACCCCCCAGCTGGGGTGTGTGTGACAGGCTCGTGCTGCCATCTGCCACTGAGCATCTCCTCTGTCCCCCTCACTGGCCACCCCTGGGCAATCTAATAGGGCAGAGGCATCTTCTTCATCCTCTTTCCCCTTGGGGCTGCATCTAGGCTCAAGGGAGCAGTCCATCTGCAAGGAGATTCCTGTTTGCCTGGTTGGGAGGGGGTCTAACTGCTTTTATTTTAATCCTGAGGCTTCTTCCATCCTGTAGGAGGGGATGAGCTGGGTTCACTGGTATCAAAGTTGCAGGAGATGCTGTTCAGGAAGGGATTTCAGCCACTCTGATGCTTTTCCTTCTACTGCAGTGAGTTTCCTCATGGTCACTTGCTGGTCCCAGCAGACTTGGCATCAGCACCAGACTGCTGGGAACCAGGGGTCAGGAGACCAGGGAACCTCAGGAACTTTAAACTCTATTCAAATTTAGTACAGAAATAGCCCTTTTTCACTCTGGTGGCTGTACTAAATGTCACAAGTCATCTAAGTTTAGACTGTCACCAGCTTGCTCCTAAATATAAACCGCACGGGGCTCCTGACTGCATCCTGCTGGCAGAGGTTACGCTGAGGTGATCCGGGGGGTCTACAGGAGGACAACTGCCATGGACAGAACCTAAACATGCTCCCCCTTTGCTAATACTACCATCAATGGTAACTACAGTCAGGCAGCATTGCTTGGGAGCATTATCCCTGGCTTTGCTCTCTGCTTGGTGCATGCCATCAGATGGAGGCTGGTTTCCCATGAGTGTGGGGCTGTGAGCTGAGGACCCTGGAGATCCCAGCACTTGTTAGCTGAATCTTTGGTATCACTGCTGAAGTACCTGCCTTGTCACGTGGTGGCTTTGCTGTGTTGTTGACCTTGACTTTGGAGTTGTCTCATCTTCGAGCATTCCTGGCTTTTGCTCTTGCATCTGAAAGGCTGGGTGGAGTGTGAATTTGTCACTTAATCCTCCCACCACAGATAAAGAGGGGCTTCTCTGCCTCATCTGTGTGTCATCTGGCCCTTTCTGGGTGTGGGATGACCCTCACACCAGTCTTTTTCCACTGACACACACAAATGGTAACGGCCCTTGTATATCGAAGCCCATCCTAGACCTCCAACTCCTCCATGTCCTTAGACACCTTCCTGTCCTGAGTTCAGAGGTCATACAAAAGCCTCACAAAGTCCCACACAGTGAGATAAAGCCAGAGCTGTAGACGGGGAAAGGGAAAGGGATTTCTTTGGCTATTTGTCCTCATCCTGTCTGCCTGGTGCAAAGATGTCCTCTGGGGTTGGGCAGAAGGCTCTCTGTGCAAAAGCAAGCCCCAGTCAGCCCATGGAGACCTGACAGTTTGGTACCTGTCTCTTCCAGAACGAGAGTCCCGAGAGCATGAGGAGCCGACCACATCCGAGATGACAGAGGAGACTTACCCGCCCAAGGCCTACCGGCCCAAGCACGGGCGCCTCTCTGAGCTCAAGGCTGAAGCCCTGAAGAAGGACCGCCGGAAGAAGCTGACGCTGGCCAAGTTTGTGGGCATGGCCGAGAACACGGCGCACCCACGTGTCATCATCCCTGAGCTCCGGCAAGAGTTTGAGCTGGTGGGTGCCTTCGCCTTCCTTCCATGGGGCTCCCATGGGCAGGTGACTGCAGGATGGCTTTTACCCTTGGAGAGTGGGTGCCAGTGGCAGAGGAGAGGGGACCATGGGGCTTTTGCAGCTGGAGGCTTGCTGTGAGGGTGCTCCCCTTCTCACACTCCATCTTCTCCTGCTTCCAGGGCCCCTGCCGTAGGCACATGGAGGCATCTCTGCAGGAGCTAAAGAGCAGCCAGCGGATGGTCCCCCGCGCTGTCCACCTCCCCAACTGCGACCGCAAGGGCTTCTACAAGAGGAAGCAGGTAAGAGCCCCATGAAGGAGGGATGCTCCCCACCCAGCAAGGATTTTCTCTGCCTCTGCCTTGGATGGGAAGGATGGAGGTTTTTCCTCTGCTGGGTTGGTGGGGATGTTGCTGTGAGCATCACCAGGCACGTTTGGTAGTGGGTTGCCTTGCTGATGGCTCCAAGTGCCATCTGGCCTGAAGTAAGCATCCTGAAGGAGCTAGTGAGGGAGGAGGAAAAGTCAGAGAACCCTGGGCTGGGGTGGCAGCAGAGATGGGGATGTGCTGAAAGCAGAGAGCAGGGACTAGGTCCTACCCTGGGAATTTCATCGCTGGAGTTAAAGGGGCAAGGCCAGGGTTGATCCTGATCCCCAGTGTGAGGGAGCCAGCTCCTGATCTCTGCCCTTGGGTGTCTCCCCAGTGCAAGCCCTCCCGAGGCCGGAAGCGTGGGTTGTGTTGGTGTGTGGACAAATACGGCATGAAGCTGCCGGGGACTGACTACCTGAGCGGAGACCTTCAGTGCCACGCCTTCGACAGCAGCAATGTGGAGTGAAGTCGCATCCCCTCCCTCCACCCCGTCACTACCTACCCAGGCTCCCTTCCACCCTCCCCTCCGCACCTCCCCACTCCCCAGGACTCCGATTCCTTTCATCTCATGTAAGAAGAAAAAAAGAAAGGAAAAGAAAAAAGAGAAAGAAAGGAAAATGAAAAAAAGAGAAAGGGACAGAAAGAAAGAAGTAAAGAAAGGAAAAACAAAAAGAGAGACAAGAAAGTGAAAAGAAAAAAGAAAAAAAGAAAAGAAAGAAAAGAAAAAAGAAAAGAAAAGAAAAGAAAAGAAAAGAAAAGAAAAGAAAAGAAAAGAAAAGAAAAGAAAAGAAAAGAAAAGAAAAGAAAAGAAAAGAAAAGAAAAGAAAAGAAAAGAAAAGAAAAGAAAAGAAAAGAAAAGAAAAGAAAAGAAAAGAAAAGAAAAGAAAAGAAAGAAAAGAGAAAACCCTGAAGAAACTGAGGACTCGGAATCTATTGCAGCCTCTTGACAAGGACTCAATAAGGAAAGGATAGAGCCAGAGACAAACCAGCCGCAGCCTCTCTGCCATTCCTCACTCTCCCTAATGCCGCCTGTGCCCCTCTGCCACAAGCAGAGGTCACCCTGATGTAGGAAGCTCTCCGAGTTGGTGAATTTCCACTACGGGTTTTGGGCAGGTTCATTTTTAATTTTTATTTTTTTTCATCTTAGCTAGTTGATTTCTGAAGGGTCTTGAGAGAAAACCTTGTGGCCACCAGCACTCCCCTTGCAGTCCTCTGGAGTGTCCTCCCCACACTGTTGGGATTCACTCAAGTCGATTTGATTTCCATCTCAAATGACTGCCCCCCAATCCAGGCAGATTTCAACACATCAGGAGGAGGCGTGAGATTGCTGGCTTCGTGTCTGGAGATGAGCTGGGGAGGGAAACACAGGTCCTGCAACGGCACAAATACCCCCAAAAAGTATTTGTGGACTTCAAAAAAAATCATCCAAAAAGGAAATATATTCTGTTCTTCTCGAATGGAAGGTCAGAAATTATTTTGGACAAGCAGGACTCTGACCGTTGTCCATCTAGGTGTGGAAGCGTTTGTCACCTGCGTGCATGTGTATGAGTGTGTGTGTGCATTGACATGGCTTTTCCTCCTTGCAAAACTTCACCTTGAAACCTGCAATCTGGAGGTTTCAATGTAATATGTAATCAGGGGGAGAAATGCTGCCCCTCCCAAAAACTAATAATAACCTGCTGGACTAAGCACAGGAGCAGAGTTACGGAGGACCATCAGTGCCTGTGGGATCAGGGCCCCATCAACATTGAGGGCTGCATCCCAGCCGACCCTGCTGTTACTCTGTCGCTGTCCAGACTGAAGTATCCCTACATGGGGACAGGGAGATCTGGGCTAAAACTCTTCACCACGCTTTGCCACCACAAAGATGACTATGGAGACTTTTTTTTTTCCCACAGCCAAAAATGTGGTTTGCTCCAGGGGAAAAAAACAACCAAACCTCCATTTTACTTGATCATGGTTTTTTGTTAAGGCTGGTTTATACCTTTCCCTATGGGTAGGAAAATGCCAGTCTACATCCTTTCACTTTGAGGATACTGCTCATGTTGCCATGGTTGATTCCCACCACCCTGCAGTAAGATCCTATGATGGGCCCTTGCCTTTAATCTGGGACCCAGCTCCTTGTTGAGTGACAGCAGCCACCACACCACGGAGACCCACTGCCTCAGGCATGGTGGGACAGCCCTCATCTGCCTTCCCGACTTATTGGTGTTTTTAACTTTTACGTTCAATTTTGGAACTGTTGCCTCTTGCTTCTCCATGACAAGGGTCTCCACGATGCTGGTGCTGGGAGGAGATCCTGCAGCGAAGGGAAGGAAGGAAGGAAAGGTGGGGTCTGGGTGCTGTGGTCCCAGTGGGCAAACACACACCCACCAGGAACCACATCCCACTGCCACAGCTGGAGCTGGCCAAAGGACACAACTGATCTCAGGGGGAAGGTTCCTGCACCCCCAAAGCCCCTTTGAGGTTCCTGAACCTGGGCAGAGAAAAAAGGAGGTCCACAGCACCACCGAGTTCCCACCAGTGGGGATGGACAAGGGGGATTCAGTGCCAAGGGCTTCTTACACCACAGGTTGGGAGCCCTCATAGCCTCCCATGACATGTCATCATTCCCCTAAGCAGCCCCGGAGCCCCCCACCAGGACAGTTGCCCCAATCAAGGGCAGAACTGGACACCTGTGGTTATTTCCCTCAAAGTTACAATGGGGGAGAATTTTGCTGATGGACTTCCACAGAGACCTAATGGAGCATGTTTGGACCTGGGGACAAAGGTCTTTCCCTTGCTTAGAAGATCACCAAATGCAGATCTGCCCCCCAGAAAAGCCTGCTGGAGTGGGGTAACCGCCGTGTTGCTGGAGGGGAGAATGGTGGGTGTTGTGGCCGAGGCAGGGAGGGACCTCTCTGGGCTCTGCAGGGCTGATGGAGTAAGGTTGATTTAACAAGGATGGTGGGTTAATGGTGGGGTGAAAGTGGGGTGAACACAGGAGGAGGAGGAGCTTGTGCCAACCACAAGTGCCCCTGTTTGCTTGCTGATCCCCGTGCAAAACGTCCTGACTGTTACAGGCCAGTACCACCTTCGCAGGACCCTTCTTTCCTTCTCTCTTGCTTTTTTGTTTGTTTGTTTTGTTGTTTAATTTCCCAAAACTTGAAAGCCTTTGGCTGCAGAGAAAGGAGACGTGCCACCAGGGTGGGATGGGAACAGGCAGAGGGATGCCACTTCCCATGGACCTTGTCTTTTGGGGAAGATGCTTTTGCAGGGCGAGGGTCAGCTCACAGGGCCTCATGGTGGTGTCATGACAAGGCCACTACACTGACACTGGGAGGGGGACACAGGATGATTCCCCGACCTCTCCCTACAAAGCAAGTCTGCATGGCCCCAGGAGCCCACAGCACCAAAATCCATCCCACGCAGCCTCCCTCACCCCTGCGCATCCCATGCTGGGACAGCACTGCCTGTCCTGTCCACACCAACCTGGAGGGAGGAGGATTGAAGTCTGTGCTGCACCACTCCTGCCTCCCCAAATCACCTTGGCTCCTGGGATGGGGCACCAAGTGACTCCCCTGGCTGCCCGCTCCCTCAAGGATCCCCAGCAGGACGAGGCTGTTTGTAGGCTGCACTAATATTTAGGACTGGGGTTGGAGTCTGGGTCAGGTTGGGGATACAAATGACTTCAGAAGGGGTTGGTCACCCCCTGGGTTGGCAGTGACGAGGTGCTCCCATTCTCAGCACCCAGCAGCACCCTTTGGCATTTAGGGTGAGAAAACCAAAAGGGGTAGATTTGGGGGCTGAGGAGTGTGGGGAGTTGAGGCACATGGGGAGATGTTGGCAATTCATGCATTAGGGGGAGGTGTGAGGCTCAGGGGTCTCCAGCTACATTATCTGAGCCAAGCCCACGCCAGTATCTAGGATGCAAGCTGAGAAGGAGAGGACAAGGATGGCACAGGGGTCAGGACAGCCCTTCCACCACGTCTGCCCACGAAGCGGCGCTCAGCAGCTGGGCTACCCCTTGTCTGTACTGCAGTGGACTTCGAAAACCACTAGTACAAGAGCATTTTGCACTATTTCTCCACTCTCTCCCCCCTTCCCTTTTTCTCCGCCTTCCCCATGAAAACTTTTTTGCTGTTGGTTTGGGTTTTTTGTTGTTGTTGATTTTTCCCCCCCCCCCAAATGGAGCATTGTATATTTAACGACCAACAGTTCACCTCGCTTCCAGACCCCTGTCCTGGCCCTGGCTAGGAGCCCTGCCTACTGTGCCCCCCTCCCCAGCCCCACCAGCCCCCTGCCACTGCCACCGGGACAGACGTCACCGCTCACGTTACCCACCGTTGTAACACACTTGTTAAAAACACACCAGATTCCGAGTTTCCTGCCTGGTTTTTATCTTTAAGCAATACTCACTACACATTTTACGGTAGCTTTTTATAGCTTTACATACATACGGTAGCTCTGTTGTTTCGTTTTTGTTTTGTTTTTGTTGTTTTGGTTTTTTTTCCAGTAAACAAGAAATACTCATAATCTTACTGGTGGGAAAAAAAAAAGCAGTTTGTGAAAAACTGACAATGGAAGAAGAGCTTAATGCTCTGTTTAGCATTTTGTACTTAAAAAAAAAATCTCACATTTTATTAAAAAGTGAAGATTGCTGTATACTATTTATTCAACTTATAATTTATGTTACTCTTTGATCTTTGTCTTTTCTCATGACAAAGCATTTATTTAATAAAGTTATGCATTCAGTTAGCTTCTGCCTGACCCTTGTGGAGCATCTCTGTGCTGGGGCCTGCCAGTGACCTGCTCCAGCCCCGAGCATTCCACAGCTGGTGGCGTTGGGCCCTCTGAGGGGCTCATCCAGCTCCATGGGGGTGCCCGGGGAGGTACAAGGCATGGGGCAAAATGGACGCAATGGTTTAGAAGAGCTTTTGATACCAGTATCAAAAGCTAGATGAGCAGTAAAATTGCAGGTTTGAGTTTAGAGCATCATAAAAGCAGAGCTACCCTATTTTTTTTCAGAATTTTCTTTGCATGAATGTGTCAGTGGAGCACAGCATGCACATTCAGCAAGCTTACCAGGAGAAAGTACCTGGCAACCAGTGATGTTAAGCTCCTAAATGCTATCGCAAACTGAGCCCCACAGCTTCGGATCAGATGCGATATTTGAGCCTCAGACCTCACTGGGCCGCTGGAAGATTTATCCCAGTGTGCAGGAGCATCCCTGGGGCAGCCCAGCCAGTCTATAATCACCTTGTGGTAGCCCTTGGTGGATCTTCCTGCTGCCCGGTGCCCTCCCCAGTGTCAGATCTGACCCTCCCCCACTGCCCACACAGCCCACTCACCCCCTCATCTCCCCCTCCTTCTGTGCCCCTCTTCCCCTCCATTCAACTGCCCAGCATCATCCTCACGTGCCCAGAGCAGGGTGGGAGGCAAAACTATCCCCTTTGCCCCTGCACTGGGGAGACCGTGGGTTGTCAGGGCTGCACTAAAATGCATCCCCCATCCTATCTGCACCACGTGGTGCTGGCACAGCCCCCCCATCCCTGATGGACACCCCACAAGGCTGAGCCTGCACCTCACGGGGCAGGAGCCGCGCGGCGCCGCAGCTGCCACGAGGGGCCGCCGCTGCCCGTGCCATTCGCGCACCCT